ACACACCAAGTACGATAATTAGACGATCTAAGCAAGTAAAACCAACCAAAAAACAGGTAGCATTCCTTCACAAGCGGCACGCAATCGCGCTAGGACCACACAGCCAATCATGCGATGTCCACGGCTAGCAAATGACTGGCAAAATGGTGAAGCGCGCAAAGTTGGCACCTGTCCAACTCCCTCAAGTTGCAGCTCCACCTTCCCATTTGACACATTTCCTGGCTTACGGATTCTTAGTTTCGCACTAATATTACCGCCATTCCGCTGAGAGAGCGCTAACGAGCAGCGCGCCGCGCCGCAGTCTGCCCTCTCCCCTCCACCCCAAATGTAGTAACACCCTGATGTATAACATATTTGAACTTGCATTTTCTCATCCGATGTGCACACTGTTCAAAATAATTTGTACTTGAACCATAGTTGTTCTGCTATTTATCTTAATCCATAGTTGACTTGCCGTTTTCTTTTGTGGCGTCAGTACCGGTATTGCATCCTTGAGAGACATTCGTTCTTCCGATCGTAATCTGCGCGGCATAAAGTGTGGGCTAAAGGTTTTCCATTATACATGTCGGTGTCTGTTTCATTTCTTCATGTATAAGCCCTTCACCACCTACGTACCTGTTGGCCCGTAGAGGTTCCACGAATGGTCTGCGGTCTCTGAAAATGGCCAGTCACTGTCAGCATCAGCAGCTACTCAAAAAATAGTTACGTTGTTGAGAGAGAGGAGTAACAATGCACTGCACTGCGTTGGGGAAATGCCGGGATTGGCACAATCTGCCCCTGCCTTCCTTTTGACTTGAGGATTCATATGTCACCAATTCGACCCTCCGGCTTACTACCATCTCCAAATATCGTCGGTCGGTAGTGTGGCATGTGGTACAACTGATGAAGATGCAAATTTTGCGAACTTTCCAAAAATCCTTCAATGTTCTCACATACAAAGGAAAACCTCTTCCACTCCCTTCAAAAATGCGATTCCAACTGGATAAAATTCGATGTCTCCCACACAAGCTATAAACGCGATTTCTACTCCTAGTTGGCAACTGTACAGTGGGTGGTTGACGCTGGTTAGGCTAAAGGTAAGCCAAGGAGCTGTGTGTGGAACAGTGAAGTACTGCT